CAGTACCAGGAATACACAGCATCGTGTATTATGGGGGAGCGCTAAACCCGTAGGGATTATATAGTGCCTGTGAGGGGGAAGGGATGGCAGGCATTCAGCCTTAATTCAGGGAATTAGAGAACACCCCCAATTCCTTAGAATAAGAGCCCCTCACCAGCAACAAGGAACCTCCCTCGTGGGGAGTGTCATGTATACAGTGCAGTGTATACTGACACTGCAGAGAAATACACGCAAGTATAACACTCAGGACATATTATTTAGAAACGTTTCGTCCCTAGGGTTTTTTTCAGTCTAATACCCCTAAGTTATCCAAACCTCTCAATAAAATCCCCTAAAATGACGTGCCGTGATGCCGGTGAGGGTGCTCTTGATCCAGGGAATTGGACCTGCCTCCCATTCCCAGGAGAATGCTTCCTATTCCCCAGGTGTTATATCTCCTCTACGGGTTTAATGCTTCCCACTCATTAAACAAAATCAAACTTTTTTCATGCATGCAATTTATTTCACAATCTGTGGGTACTGATACCTAGTAGTGGTACTTATATTATAGTACATGATTACAGTTTGCGTACAACCAGAGCACAGGCAGTAACTGGATGGGTGACCGCGTGGATACGAACCCAGGTAAAGAAAAAAAAAGGCGCATCTGCTTGTAATGTCAACAAAACTAAATCTAATCTAACCTAACTTTCTTCCTGTGACTATTTCCATTCACTGTAAACACTGTTTCTGTGCTAGGGAGGACTGGAAATTCCGAGGACTGTCTCCAATACGATCGCCAACAGCCTGGCTGGACAGTATCAGGGACGTGATCATCAGACGGTACATGCATCAGACCTTACATTGAATAATACATGATTCCATCAAGGAAGATCCTTGATTCCAGCGAGTGGCTCTACCTGGACTATACCTAGAGAGGGTTTCGAGGGTCAACGTCCCTGCGACCTAGTCTGTGACCAGGCCTCGTGGTGGATCAGGGTCTGATCAACCAGGCTGTTATTGCTGGCCGCACGCAAACTGACGTACGAACCGCAGCCCGACTGGTCAGGTACTGACTTTAGGTGCCTGTCCAGTGCCTTCTTGAAGACAGCCAGGGGTCTGTTGGTAATCCCCTTTATGTATGCTGGGAGGCAGTTGAATAGTCTTGGGCCCCTGACACTTACTGTGTTCTCTCTCGGTGTACTCGTGGCGTCCCTGCTTTTCATTGGGGGAATGTTGCATCTCCTGCCGAGTCTTTTGCTTTCATAGGGAGTGATTTTCGTGTACAAGTTTGGTACTAATCCCTCTAGCATTTTCAAAGTGTATATGTGGAAAATACTGTATATATTTTCCAGAAATACAGTAGTTATTAAATGTAAATAGATGGCCATACTGTATTTAAAATTTATGTAATCGAAAACGGGAAGCTGCGCCTGCGCAGAAGAGGAGACTCACCATCTTGGTTTTTGAATTTTGTACAAACGTTGGTGTAATGGGAAGAATTTTTCGTGCTCTAGAGGTTAAAATTGTGTTGACACCTCTCAAATAGGAGGCGAAATTGGTGGATGTGCATTCCTGCATAACTTGAGATATCAGACGACTGGACAAGACAGCTCCAGGAACCTCAGATAAGCTCTCTAGATTTGAGTGTAATTCTGGCCAGCATTATTTTCATAGATTTAGTTAGAGTGAGGTTTTCTGAGTATGATACACATTAATCTCCAGTCAAATTGGTGAGTGATATTAAGATATATTTTCCTTCTGTTATGTAATTGTGTATATATATAACCATTTATTTTTAATATACAGTCCACAAATTTATATATTTACCAGTATTCCTGGTGTATGTATATTTCATTTAATTAATAGGTCCAGAGCAACTTGTGGTTATGACAGTGGTAGGTATCGAAGGGGGACATTTTTTGCGACCTAGGTGTCCCAAATTCCTACTTGTCTATGTAACATTGATAAATAATAACTATCTTTGTTATCATTTACTGTTATGTACATAATTAGTTACATTCAGATAAATGCAATTTTCCACAGTATATGTATTATCATGTATATCTCTCGCTTGTGTTCCAGGGAATACAAATCAAGGGATTTCAACCGTTCCCAATAATTTAGGTGCCTTATCGTACGTATGTGTGCCGTGAAAGTTCTTTGTACTCTCCAGGTCAGCCATTTCGCCTGCCTTGAAGGGGGCAGTTAGTGTACAGCAGTATTCCAGCCTAGAGAGAACACGCGATGTGAGGAGAATCATCATGGGCTTGGCGTCCCTGGTTTTGAAGGTCCTCATTATCCATCGAAGGCGAGATCCTCTGACATTATCACTCCCAGGTCCTTCACATTACTTTTTCGCTCTATTGTATGGTTAGAATTTGTCGTATACTCTGATACAATTTTAATTTCCTCAAGTTTTTCCATATCTGATCAGTTGAAATTTATCTTCACTGAACTTATTGTTCTGAGTGGCCCCTTTGAAGATTTGGTTTATGCCCGATTGGAGTCTTGCGGTGTCTTCGATGGAGAACACTTGTCATGGCAATTCGAGCGTCATTCGCAAAGGAAGACACGGAGCTATAGCTTACATCTCTATGTCAGATATGAGGATGAGGAACAGGATGAGAGCGAGTACTGTGCCTTGTGGAACAGAGCTTTTCACTGTAGCTGCCTCAGACTTTACTCTGTTTACTATTACTCTTTGTGCTCTATTTGTTAGGAAGTTATAAATCCATCTACCAATTTTTCCTGGTATTCCTATATCACGCAATTTGTGCGCTATTACATCGTGATTACAACTGTCGAAGGTTTTCGCAAAATTTGTGTATACTACATCTGCATTTTGTTTACCCTCTACAGCATCCAGGAGTTTGCAATAGTGATCCAGCAGCTGTGACAGGCAGGAGCGACCTGCTCTAAACCCGTGTTGCCCTGGGTTTTGTGATTGACGGATATTTTGCTGTAAGGAACTGAAGGAGTCCTTCCTTTGTTTTTAACCTGTTTGTTTTCCACTCCCCGGGAGCTGTATGGCTCCTAATAGTTTAGTGTTCCCTCCTAAATATAATAATAATCCATTTTATGACATCCGTATTAAGATAAATCGAATTTTGCAGTGGTAAAAAGGTCAGCAAAAGCACACTCCCCTTCAAATTTTCCGTTGTTAGATTATACTTTGTTTAAAGAAAACTGATGATATTTTCTCAAATCTCCCATCTTAATTTTGTTTATTAAGATATTTTAACAAATCAGAGCGACTTACGTGATGGCTCAAACCATAGATTAAGATCTAGAGAATTTACAAATGATATGGTGATAGTTTCCCAATATTAGCTTACATTTGTGCACACTGATTTGCATGTGTTGTTTCTGTGCCCACAACTACCTTGCCAGGCCACCTTCAAGCCTCGTAAGTGACCACACAATGTAGCAGCCTAGTACTGGCAGCAGTAAATTTCCATGTTGTTAGTGTAGAACCTGAAATAGGAGAGCAACTCAGCTTGTGCCCTTAATGTGGTCACACTGTACCCTTACTGCGGTCACATTGTGCCCTTAATGCGGTCACATTGTGCCCTTAATGCGGTCACATTGTACCCTTACTGCGGTCACATTGTACCCTTACTGCGGTCACATTGTGCCCTTACTGTTCAGTCATGATGGGACCGCCAAACCCTTAAGAGGGGGTTACACAGAGCCTAGAATAATGGAGAGGCACTCAGGTTCAGTGCAAAGAAGGGTGAAGACATGTCCCACTTCTTTGGATCAAGAGCCAGGTTGAGACAGGTTTGGCAGAACAGGTACTGGCCCGGGTCTTCTTGATGTGGTGACCCCGGAATATGATCAGGAGCCCCTGACAGATAGCAAAGCACCTACCGCTGTGGAGAAGTGAGGGAGCCGTCTCACGATTAGCGGACAAGAGGATCGGGTCTGCACCACTCCTCGAGTTGAACAGCCCATATGGGTTTAGCGCTTCTCCGAAATAATAATAATAATAATAATAATAATAATAATAATAATAATAATAATAATAATAATATCGTGCTTCAGCTCACTTCTAATCCTTCCCCCAGGATGCGACTCTCAGAAGTGGATTAATACCTAGGAACCTAATTATTGCTAGATGAACACCCTGGTACCTAATTGCTGGTAGATGAACACCAGGGTACCTAAATGCTGCTAGATAAACACCCAGGTACCTAACTGCTGCTAGATGAACACCTTGGTACCTAACTGCTGCTAGATGAACACCTTGGTACCTAACTGCTGCTAGACGAACCCCCAGTTAGGTTAACACTCAGGCACTTAATTTACTGTTGGATGAACACTAACCATCTAATTTATGCTAGGTGAAAGACATCAGGTGTTGGAAGACATTCCCAGATGTCTCCCAGCCCAGGAATCCAGTTTTATTCACAGACTCAATTAGTGGTAATATAACAAAGATACTGAACACAAGAACACTAATGATATGACCTGACGACACCTTCACAATATCCTGTATCTAGTATATTCATGCAGATATATATAAACAGCGTATTGAAAATACCAGATCAAGACAGTACTCACAGCAAGTTTCAAGTTAGAGAAATTTAGATTTAGAAAGGAAAGTACTAGTTGTGCTGAACTTTGGGTAGGCAAATATGGAACCATGGGTTGAAAAGCTGCAGTAGTGGATGCGAGTTTGGGCTGCCTAGCATGGGCCAGTAGGCCTACTGCAGTGTTCATTGTTATATTTTTTAAAAGAGGGAATGGAAAATGAAGGAATCTAATGCCACATGGACGTGAATATAATCAAGGAACATAGAAGTTAATACGGACGCTCTCATGGGTGGTGGTTTTATCCCTGAAAATCTTGATACAGAAAACAACGAAATAGAGAAAAACAAGGCACTCCATTTTAATAAGGAATTTCAGCGCATTTTACAAATTAAAAATAGCTAGGATACGTCCTATCTTGGAAACCCACCTACATAAATACACTAAACGTACATTTCAGAACCAAATAAAGAAACAAAACTAACCAGAAAGCACAGGAGCACAACAACGTCCTACCTCGGTGTCTAGAGCGCAACTGAACCCAATGGTACTAAGTAAGGAAGCAGGTTCACTACTGACACAACTTGCGCATGCGCTTCCCAATATACAAATGTATACATTGACGTTTTCCTCCTTATTTATTCATGTGGAAATGTATACAGTGGAAATATTGATCATTATAAATGAGAAAAAATGCGCTTTGTACTCTCAGTATTGAATTATTTAAGTTACGAGACAAGAAACAGATGAAATATTGAAGCTTTCCCTGGAGGTCAAGAACGACTTTCTCTAGACACACCTTGTACACCACACCTTGTACACCACATCATGTACACCACACCATGTACACCACACCTTGTACACCACACCTTGTACACCGCACCATGTACACCACACCATGTACACCGCACCATGTACACCACACCTTGTACACCACACCATGTACACCACACCATGTACACCACACCTTGTACACCACACCATGTACACCGCACCATGTACACCACACCTTGTACACCACACCATGTACACCACACCTTGTACACCACACCATGTACACCGCACCATGTACACCACACCTTGTACACCACACCTTGTACACCACACCTTGTACACCACACCATGTACACCACACCTTGTACACCGCACCATGTACACCACACCTTGTACACCACACCTTGTACACCACACCTTGTACACCGCACCATGTACACCACACCTTGTACACCACACCTTGTACACCACACCTTGTACACCACACCTTGTACACCACACCATGTACACCACACCTTGTACACCACACCTTGTACACCGCACCATGTACACCACACCTTGTACACCACACCTTGTACACCACACCTTGTACACCGCACCATGTACACCACACCTTGTACACCGCACCATGTACACCACACCTTGTACACCACACCATGTACACCACATCATGTACACCACACCATGTACACCACACCATGTACACAACACCATGTACACCACACCTTGTACACCACACCTTGTACACCGCACCATGTACACCACACCATATACACCACACCACGTACACCACACCATGTACACCACACCATGTACACCACACCATATATACCACACCTTGTACACCACACCATGTACACCACACCATATATACCACACCTTGTACACCACACCATATACACCACACCTTGTACACCACACCTTGTACACCACACCATGTACACCACACCTTGTACACCACACCTTGCACACCATACCTTGTAATATACACCACACCATGTACCAGTACACCACACATTGTAATGTTCATCACGCCATGTACCAGTGCACCACACCTTGTACACCACACCATGTACACCACACCTTGTAATATACATCACACCATGTACCAGTACACCACACATTGCAATGTACATAACGCCATGTACCAGTACACCACACCATGTATCAATACACACTATGTAATGTACACCACACCATGTACACCACACCTTGTACACCACACCTTGTAATATACACCAAACCATGTACCTGTACACCCCACCATGTGCCAGTACACACTATGTAATGTACACCACACCATGTACCAGTACACCACACTACGTAATGTACATCACACCATGTACACCACACCATGTACACCACACCTTGTACACCACACCTTGTACACCACACCATGTACACCACACCATGTACACCACACCATGCACACCACACCATGTACACCACACTATGTAATGTGCATCACACTATATAATGTGTATCACACCATGTACCATTACAACACACTATGTAATGTACACCACACAATGTACCAGTACACCACACTACGTACAAGTACACCACACCATGTACCACTACACCACACTATGTAAGGTACACCACACCAGGTACCAGTACACCACACTATGTACCAGAACACCACACCATGTACCAGTACACCACACTATGTAATGTACATCACGCCATGTACCAGTACACCACACCATGTACCAGTACACCACACCATGTACCAGTAGACACTATGTAATGTACACCACACAATGTACCAGTACACCACACTACGTACCAGTACACCACACCATGTACCACTACACCACACTATGTAAGGTACACCACACCAGGTACCAGTACACCACACTATGTACCAGAACACCACACCATGTACCAGTACACCACACTATGTAATGTACATCACGCCATGTACCAGTACACCACACCATGTACCAGTACACCACACCATGTACCAGTAGACACTATGTAATGTACACCACACCATGTACCAGTAGACACTATGTAATGTACACCACACCATGTACCAGTACACCACACCATTTACCAGCACACCACACCATGTACCAGCACACTACACCATGTACCAATATACCACACCATGAACTAGTACACCACATCATGTACCAGCACACCACATCATGTATCAGTACACCACACCATGTAATTTACACCACACCATATAGCAGTACACCACACCATGTACAAGTACACCACACCATGTAATGTACATCACGCCATGTACCAGTACACCACAATATGTAATGTACATCATGCCATGTACCAGTACACCACACCATGTACCAGTATGCCACACTATGTAATGTACACCACACCATGTACTAGTACACCGCATCATGTACCCGCACACCACATCATGTATCAGCACACCACACCATGTAACGTACACCACACCATGTACCAGTACACCACACCATATACCAGTACACCACACAATGTAATGTACACCACACTATGTACCAGTATACCACACCATGTACCAGTACACTACACCATGTAATGTACACCACACAATGTACCAGTACACCACACCGTGTACCATTACATCACACCATGTACCACTACACCACTCCATGTACCAGTACACCATATCTTGCTCAAGTAAACCACACCTTGCCACAATACACTACACCTTGCCATAGTACACCACACCTTGCCATAGTACACCACACCTTGCCATAGTACACCACACCTTGCCACAATACACCACACCTTGCCATAGTACACCACACCTTGCCACAGTACACCACACCTTGCCACAGTACACCACACCTTGCCACAGTACACCACACCTTGCCACAGTACACCACACCTTGCCACAATACGCCACACCTTGCCACAATACGCCACACCTTGCCACAATACACCACACCTTGCCATAGTACACCACACCTTGCCATAGTACACCACACCTTGCCACAATACACCACACCTTGCCATAGTACACCACACCTTGCCACAGTACACCACACCTTGCCACAGTACACCACACCTTGCCACAGTACACCACACCTTGCCATAGTACACCACACCTTGCCACAGTACACCACACCTTGCCACAGTACACCACACCTTGCCATAGTACACCACACCTTGCCACAGTACACCACACCATGCCACAGTACACCACACCTTGCCACAATACACCACACCTTGATACAGTACACCACACCATGCCACAATACACCATACCTTGCCACAGTGCACCACACCTTGCCACAGTACACCACACCTTGCCACGGTACACCACACCTTACCACAGTACACTACACCTTGCCTCACTACACTACACCTTGCCACAGTACACCACACCTTGCCACAGTACACCACACCTTGCCACAGTACACCACACCTTGCCATAGTACACCACACCTTGCCACAATACACCACACCTTGCCACAGTACACCACACCTTGCCACAGTACACCACACCTTGTCACAGTACACCACACCTTGCCACAGTACACCACATCTTGCCATAGTACACCACACCTTGCCACAGTACACCACACCTTGTCACAGTACACCACACCTTGTCACAGTACACCACATCTTGCCATAGTACACCACACCTTGTCACAGTACACCACACCTTGCCACAGTACACCACACCTTACCATAGTACACCACACCTTGCCACAGTACACCACACCTTGCCATAGTACACCACACCTTGCCATAGTATATCACACCTTGCCACAGTACACCACACCTTGCCACAGTACACCACACCTTGTCACAGTACACCACACCTTGCCATAGTACACCACACCTTGCCATAGTACACCACACCTTGTCACAGTACACCACACCTTGCCACAGTACACCACATCTTGCCATAGTACACCACACCTTGCCACAGTACACCACACCTTGCCACAGTACACCACACCTTGCCATAGTACACCACACCTTGCCATAGTACACCACACCTTGTCACAGTACACCACACCTTGCCATAGTACACCACACCTTGCCATAGTACACCACACCTTGTCATAGTACACCACACCTTGTCACAGTACACCACACCTTGCCACAGTACACCACACCTTGTCACAGTACACCACACCTTGCCATAGTACACCACACCTTGTCACAGTACACCACACCTTGCCACAGTACACCACACCTTGCCATAGTACACCACACCTTGCCATAGTACACCACACCTTGCCATAGTACACCACACCTTGCCATAGTACACCACACCTTGCCACAGTACACCACACCTTGCCATAGTACACCACACCTTGCCATAGTACACCACACCTTGCCATAGTACACCACACCTTGCCACAGTACACCACACCTTGCCATAGTACACCACACCTTGCCATAGTACACCACACCTTGCCATAGTACACCACACCTTGCCATAGTACACCACACCTTGCCACAAACACCACACCTTGCCACAGTACACCACACCTTGCCATAGTACACCACACCTTGCCATAGTACACCACACCTTGCCATAGTACACCACACCTTTGCCATAGTACACCACACCTTGCCATAGTACACCACACCTTGCCATAGTACACCACACCTTGCCACAGTACACCACACCTTGCCACAGTACACCACACCTTGCCATAGTACACCACACCTTGCCATAGTACACCACACCTTGCCATAGTACACCACACCTTGCCATAGTACACCACACCTTGCCACAGTACACCACACCTTGCCACAGTACACCACACCTTGCCATAGTACACCACACCTTGCCATAGTACACCACACCTTGCCATAGTACACCACACCTTGCCAAAGT